TGCTTTAAGTAATATTAGTGAATCTCTACGCTATACATCCTTTCCTAGACAAAAAACAGGTCTTGACTAGATATCGTAGGTTCTCCTGAGACGGTTGGTGAGTATGTCGGACGAGCAGGTGAATGCGCCCCCTGAAACAGAACGAGCAGCGATTCTCCAGCTGGTGAGTAGATTTTTCTTGTTACTGGCCAGCTATTGACAGTCAAACTTTACAGCGTAAACAGTTTGCAGTGCAGGTGCGATTGCTCACACCCTTAGGTTATGACAAGAGATCAAGTGAAATGACCGAGTCGCTATCAGGAATTGACAGGAGATGATGGCAAGTACATCCAGGTAGTGTGTCGTAGGACTAGCTTTAACCGGGCGGACAATTCCTATAAAGACGCCACATATTCGGAACTTGATAATGCCTCAGTGCATATGTGATTCGTCATTATTATTTAATGCAATCTACAAGGGTTCGATCCACTCAGGCAACATGGGCTTATAAGTATAACAGATTTATTTTTTGTTTGATTGTCCAGAGCACTGGAGGTGATATAGTCCCAGCACATGCCCTTGGACAGTTTGTCGCTGACAAGAAACTCGAGGATGATGTCATTGTATCTCTGGCTGTTGGTTCCTGGCTTGGAACGACACCTTACCCCGTCAATAAAAAAAGTAACAGCTCCTTAAGAGAGGAGTGGACGTATACCCTTAGTGGGATTTGAACCCACGCCTCCTCAGTCAGAGGTACATGGGCGCCTATAGGACTGAAGTCCTATACCGCTAGACTATAAGGGCATTGTTAATTTTCGGACGCTGATCTACAACACACACCTTGAAGGTAGTGTATTACAATGCTCAGATCAGAATTAAAGGAAACAAATAGTGAAATTATCCTCCAACGTCTCATGTTTGAGCCATGTCAGTGCATTACTAATTGATGAAGTTGTGTCCGCCCGATCAATGCAGCCATATGGAATTTGGTACAAGCCGAAGAGGTGCGTGTGTAGTTTCTCTGAGTAAAGTACTTCTTATTAGGAGACCGGGTATGAAAATGTTGTGCTACAGTGTTGGCGAGATGCCATTGAGTGAGCCTGTTGTTTTTATGTGGACCAAGGTCATGAGTGAAGCACTTTGTTGAACATCATGTTTACCAGTCTCTCAGTACACAGTCAGATGGTCAAGTGGCTAAGACACCTTGAAAGCGTGGGATGTCGGAAAGTCGAAGAATATTAATCTTCCAAGGAGGCGGACGTTCGAATACTCCTTTGGGTATTGCGAAGAGTCTGGATTGCACTCTCTAGATGGAATTTCAAGTTGGTAATTTTTTGATAGAGTGTATTTGCAGTCAGTTCTGTTACCTTGGCGTCTCCTCGCTACATCACAATAGCGATCACATTAGATGACCACAAACTCGTCATGCCGTATCATCAGCGTCTCCGCGTTACATGCCACCTTTTTAGTGTTTCAAATAGGCTCTATTAATAAGGTAAATAGCTATCAAATGGGATAAAAAATTGATAAGACAGCCGAAGAAGGCCCCACTAAGATAGATTCTGGCAGAATTCTGGCAAAATCCAAATAAAGTGGTAGCAGTGTGTAGAGTCGAGCTTCCTCTGGCGTCACTGTCACACATACATGCAATATTTCCAGGAGGCGGGGGTTCAATTCCTCCTTTGATGTTCCTCAAGGTGAACATTGTAAATCAATAAGAGGAAAGAAGGCGCAGCAGGGCAAAAAGATTATCAGGTCTCACGTGATAATCAAAACCGTGGCAGGGCATGGTTATGGCTCATCAGGTCTCACGTGATAATCAAAACCATGGCAGGGCATGGTTATGGCTCATCAGGTCTCACGTGATAAATATCAAATTTGTTTGGCACCGTCCCTGGGCCTTTTAAGTGTATCCAGCTACTTCAAGGCCAATGTTTTAGACAGACAATCCAAAGCTCTATTAGACAGTGGCAACATGATTCCAGCGTTGTGGGAAGATTACTTGGCAGTGGTCTGCCTAGGACAATCTGGGTCTGATATAGATCAGCTTATTGCTCTTGCTTAGAGATGGGCAGGTGAAACGAGCTCCAAGTTAAACTAACATCAGCCTATGGGATTTTGATTTGAATGACAATGACATCATTACCCCATTAGGTAACCAACAAGAAACCATTCCTTTTTAGGAATATCTATCATTTACTCACAATCATATGCCGCCAAATAAATTCTTTGAATGTGATTGTTAAAGAAAAGATATGGGTGCTCTTATCCATGGCCTGATGGTGCAGCGGCATTTCGTTCATTCAACTCATCTTATCAAGATGCTTTGGGTTCGACTCCCAAGCAGGCTCTAAGTAGATATTTCACTTGTGATCATATATGACGGCCAGTTTTTTTTTATATCACAAGAAAAATATGGATGGGTTGGGAGGTCAACATGGGTCGTAGTCATGGCCAGATAGTCTAGTGGTAAATGACAACTTGCTAATTCTAGTACACTCCTACCAAACAGGCGGGGGTTCAATTCCTCCTTTGATGTTCTTCAAGATGAACACTGTAAATCAATAAGAGGAAAGAAGGCGCAGCAGGGGAAAAAGATTATCAGGTCTCACGTGATAACCAAAACCGTGGCAGGGCATGGTTATGGCTCATCAGGTCTCACGTGATAAATATCAGAATCATTTACCCCCATCCGTAGGGCGTTTTGAGTGTATCCAGCTGCTTGGCCAATCTGTTAGACAGACAATACAAAGCTCCATTAGACAGTGGCAACATGATTCCAGCGCTGTGGAGGTGGAGACTGGAAAAAGAAGAAGATTACTTGGCAGCAATCTGCCTAGGGCAATCTGGGTCTGATATAGATCGGCCTATCACTCTTACATAGGGATAGGCGGAACAGCCAGGCAGCTCAAGTTCAACTAACATAACCCTATGTGCATTACTTTTTAGGAATATCTGTTTTTTATTTTACTCTTTGACCACCGCAAAAAAAAAGAACCTTTCAAGTGTAGCAGTCAAGGAAAAGATATGGATGCTGTTTTACATGGCCTGATGGTGTAGCAGCAATTTATTGATTCACTTGTTATCAAGATGCTTTGTGTTCGACTCCCAAGCTGGCACTAAGTAAACATGGGACCTGCTTGGGCTTCTTTTTTTTTTAATATCACCAGGAAAATATGCTATGACTGATGGGTTGGGAGGTCAAAAAAACTTTTGTGACCTTGCCTAGTGGCAAACACGACTAGAAGCAGGGGTTTGATTCCCGAGATAATACATTTTTGTTTGTGCAACGCATATGGTGCGTGATAGCCTTGATACAAGTAGGGGTTGTATTAAAACACACTTGAATAGTCAAGTGGTCAAGATGCCTTGAAATCATGTGTTCAGCTCCAGTGACAGATGATTGCAAGGAGGCGGGGGTTCGAATCCCCCTTCAAGTGTACCTGTAGCTCACACAATGACAATAACAGTTTTTTGTGTTTTGCTCTAACAGAGTCATAAAACAGTATAGGGGTCAGAAGTTTCGTGCTGAACTTGGAATGATGTCACCATACTGCCAAGTTTACTAGCCTCCTAAACGCAGAGGGTTACAGGTTTCCTATTAACAGTTGAGCTACCAGTGAAAGATATTTTGATAGTATGGCACGGTGGCATGCGACCCACAAGGGTTCAAATCCCGCGGATACAATAACTGTTTTATCTGGATGAGCAGAGTGCATAAAAAATTGGAAGGGGTAAGCAGGTCCTCCAATGGGTGGCATATGATTCAAAGGGTTTGATCCCATCTGTGATTAATCGGACAAGATAAAAACATGTTCAGGGCGCGGTGTATGTATACCCTTAGTGGGATACGAACCCACACCTCTTTGGTCAAAGTAGAGCATCAAACCACCAGACCACAAGGGAATTAATAATTTCTGCAGTCAAAATCTATTGAGGTATGTGGAAATGTCCGCCTACAGTGTTGGTGAGCTGGGATGTACATATAATGTTCAATGGAGTTCTTTGCCTTCAGCGGTATTCATGGCCTAATAGTGCAATGGCACCACATTTAAACCCATGTCTCACCAACTGTTGTAACCACTGTGTTATCTGAGTGTTGTTATGGTGTCAATTTAAATTATTAAAAAAAGGCATCAAGATTCATATCAGTCTCAGAGGGAGTCGAACCCCAGCCCCTAAAATGGTACTGACCAAGGGCTAATTCCACTATACTATCTGAGGATTGCTATGAAATGAGCTTCCACCCTAAATGGGATCGATGATGATTCCTCCAATAGTAAAACATCTCTCCTTCAAATAAGACTTGGGCCCAAGAACTTGTAAAACTCTCCTAGACTTTGAATCCCACCCCAAAGGACATCTGCCAAATGCGAAACAAGTTTTCAAAAAGAAAAAATATTGTAGGTTCTCCTGAGACGGTTGGTGAGTATGTCGGACGAGCAGGTGAATGCGCCCCCTGAAACAGAACGAGCAGCGATTCTCCAGCTGGTGAGTAGATTTTTCTTGTTACTGGCCAGCTATTGACAGTCAAACTTTATAGCGTAAACAGTTTGCAGTGCAGGTGCGATTGCTCACACCCTTAGGTTATGACAAGAGATCAAGTGAAATGACCGAGTCGCTATCAGGAATTGACAGGAGATGATGGCAAGTACATCCAGGTAGTGTGTCGTAGGACTAGCTTTAACCGGGCGGACAATTCCTATAAAGACGCCACATATTCGGAACTTGATAATGCCTCAGTGGCATATGTGATTCGTCATTATTATTTAATGCAATCTACAAGGGTTCGATCCACTCAGGCAACATGGGCTTATAAGTATAACAGATTTATTTTTTGTTTGATTGTCCAGAGCACTGGAGGTGATATAGTCCCAGCACATGCCCTTGGACAGTTTGTCGCTGACAAGAAACTCGAGGATGATGTCATTGTATCTCTGGCTGTTGGTTCCTGGCTTGGAACGACACCTTACCCCGTCAATAAAAAAAAGTAACGGCTGCTTAGGAGTGCAGTGGACGTATACCCTTAGTGGGATTTGAACCCACGCCTCCTCAGTCAGAGGTACATGGGCGCCTATAGGACTGAAGTCCTATACCGCTAGACTATAAGGGCATTGTTAATTTTCGGACGCTGATCTACAACACACCTTGTCAATTAAATAGAGTGTATTTGGAGACACTTTTTTCGCAAGTTGTTGAAAACTTGATGCAACTTTCCAAAAAGAGCTGGCAGCTCATTCGATCGGCCTAACCCTAAGATCTCCCGATTTGCATACGTCGTCATCGGTCCATCATCGCTGTCGCCGTTGAACGTCGTTACCTCCTCATCGCTCTCATGGCCTCGTCGCTGGAGGAAACGACGAGCAAGCCTCAAATATTCAAATATTTCCGCTGTTATCATTGAATTAGTATATACCTTAGACTACATGGCAAATTCATTGGATTATTCTGTACAAGCCTCTTAGATCTTAGAGCATTAGCTATGGGTCTCGCCGATAAACTTATCGTCGTCATCGAGTGCAACGACGGCGCCAAGGGATTCTAACCCTAATCTTTACGATGACGTCTGACAGAATATGATCGGATTTTTCGATCTTAAAGCTGTCGCAACTTTCGAAAACTTACACGCAACATTGCCAGGGGGTTCCAAATACACTCTAATATTCAAAAATACTATAAAGCCACAGTTGTTAGAGGCCCTCAAACAACATGTTTCTTGAGTGTCCAGACCACTGGAAGTGACGCACTGTCTGGTAACTATAAGGGTAAAAGGCACGTGATCTTGTTATGACTCAAAAGCATGCCATGCCATGGTTTGGATCAACCACTCTCATAGCCCTCTCACCTCATATAAAGAGTCTTTTAAGTCCACTTGGCCAGACACTGTCTATATGCGAGAGAGGATGACGTGTGATTGATCATGCTATGCAAAGATGTCATTGTAATCAGATCTGATTTTCAGGCCTAGCAGAGCCTTGATTAGAGCTGAAGAGAGTGCAGGCAAGAATCAAACCCCAATCTGATATATAAATAATAAAAGCTCAAGGAGAAACATATACCCTTGGTGGGGTTCGGACCCACGCCTCTTCAGTTAATGCTGAATCATAGTGGGCACTGAACATCAATACTATTGACTACCCTCTACATTCTATTAGCATGACCAGCCCACTGGTCACGCACTGTCTGGTAAGCCCTAATAGCATATGGGTTAGAGGCACGGGATCTTGTTATGACTCATAAGCATTCCCTCCCATGGTTTTGGCTCACGTGATAATCACTCTCATGGCATGCAGGCTCAGATGGGATTCAAACAAGTAAAAATAGGATACACTTCACAAAAAGGCTTGTACAGTACCCTTAGTGGGATTTGAACCCACGCCTCCTCAGTCAGAGGTACAGGACATTGACGTTTATAGGACTGAAGTGTCATACCACTAGACTATAAGGGCATTCTTAAATTTCAGACGCTGATCTACAACACACACCTTGAAGGTAGTGTATTACAATGCTCAGATCAGAATTAAAGGAAACAAATAGTGAAATTATCCTCCAACGTCTCATGTTTGAGCCATGTCAGTGCATTACTAATTGATGAAGTTGTGTCCGCCCGATCAATGCAGCCATATGGAATTTGGTACAAGCCGAAGAGGTGCGTGTGTAGTTTCTCTGAGTAAAGTACTTCTTATTAGGAGACCGGGTATGAAAATGTTGTGCTACAGTGTTGGCGAGATGCCATTGAGTGAGCCTGTTGTTTTTATGTGGACCAAGGTCATGAGTGAAGCACTTTGTTGAACATCATGTTTACCAGTCTCTCAGTACACAGTCAGATGGTCAAGTGGCTAAGACACCTTGAAAGCGTGGGATGTCGGAAAGTCGAAGAATATTAATCTTCCAAGGAGGCGGACGTTCGAATACTCCTTTGGGTATTGCGAAGAGTCTGGATTGCACTCTCTAGATGTAATTTCAAGTTGAAAATTTTTTGATAGAGTGTATTTGCAGTCAGTTCTGTTACCTTGGCGTCTCCTCGCTACATCACATAGCGATCACATTAGATGACCACAAACTCGTCATGCCGTATCATCAGCGTCTCCGCGTTACATGCCACCTTTTTAGTGTTTCAAATAGGCTCTATTAATAAGGTAAATAGCTATCAAATGGGATAAAAAATTGATAAGACAGCCGAAGAAGGCCCCACTAAGATAGATTCTGGCAGAATTCTGGCAAAATCCAAATAAAGTGGTAGCAGTGTGTAGAGTCGAGCTTCCTCTGGCGTCACTTTCACACATCCATGCAATATTTCCAGGAGGCGGGGGTTCAATTCCTCCTTTGATGTTCCTCAAGGTGAACATTGTAAATCAATAAGAGGAAAGAAGGCGCAGCAGGGCAAAAAGATTATCAGGTCTCACGTGATAATCGAAACCGTGGCAGGGCATAGTTATGGCTCATCAGGTCTCACGTGATAATCAAAACCATGGCAGGGCATGGTTATGGCTCATCAGGTCTCACGTGATAATCAAAACCATGGCAGGGCATGGTTATGGCTCATCAGGTCTCACGTGATAAATATCAAATTTGTTTGGCACCGTCCCTGGGCCTTTTAAGTGTATCCAGCTACTTCAAGGCCAATGTTTTAGACAGACAATCCAAAGCTCTATTAGACAGTGGCAACATGATTCCAGCGTTGTGGGAAGATTACTTGGCAGTGGTCTGCTTAGGGCAATCTGGGTCTAATATAGATCGGCTCATCTCTCTTGCTTAGAGATGGGCAGGTGAAAGGAGCTGCAAGTTAAACTAACATCAGCCTATGGGATTTTGGTTTGGATGACAATGACATCATTACCCCATTAGGTAACCAACAAGAAACCATTCTTTTTTAGGAATATCTATCATTTACTCACAATCATATGCTGCCAAATAAATTCTTTGAATGTGATTGTTAAAGAAAAGATATGGGTGCTCTTATCCATGGCCTGATGGTGCAGCGGCATTTCGTTCATTCAACTCATCTTATCAAGATGCTTTGGGTTCGACTCCCAAGCAGGCTCTAAGTAGATATTTCACTTGTGATCATATATGACGGCCAGTTTTTTTTTATATCACAAGAAAAATATGGATGGGTTGGGAGGTCAACATGGGTCGTAGTCATGGCCAGATAGTCTAGTGGTAAATGACAACTTGCTAATTCTAGTACACTCCTACCAAACAGGCGGGGGTTCAATTCCTCCTTTGATGTTCTTCAAGATGAACACTGTAAATCAATAAGAGGAAAGAAGGCGCAGCAGGGGAAAAAGATTATCAGGTCTCACGTGATAACCAAAACCGTGGCAGGGCATGGTTATGGCTCATCAAGTCTCACGTGATATTCAAAACCGTGGCAGGGCATGGTTATGGCTCATCAGGTCTCACGTGATAATCAAAACCATGGCAGGGCATGGTTATGGCTCATCAGGTCTCACGTGATAAATATCAAATTTGTTTGGCACCGTCCCTGGGCCTTTTAAGTGTATCCAGCTTCTTCAAGGCCAATGTTTTAGACAGACAATCCAAAGCTCTATTAGACAGTGGCAACATGATTCCAGCGTTGTGGGAAGATTACTTGGCAGTGGTCTGCCTAGGACAATCTGGGTCTGATATAGATCATCTTATGGCTCTTGCTTAGAGATGGGCAGGTGAAACGAGCTCCAAGTTAAACTAACATCAGCCTATGGGATTTTGGTTTGAATGACAATGACATCATTACCCCATTAGGTAACCAACAAGAAACCATTCCTTTTTAGGAATATCTATCATTTACTCACAATCATATGCCGCCAAATAAATTTTTGGAATGTGATTGTTAAAGAAAGACATGGGTGCTCTTATCCATGGCCTGATGGTGCAGCGGCATTTCGTTTATTCAACCATTTTTATCAAGATGCTTTGGGCTCAACTTCCAAGCAGGCTCTATGAGCGCGCTTTTTTAATCCAGAGAAAAATCTACTGTGAATTATGAGTTGGTAAATCAAAATTCTCACAGAGATGGAGGACGATCCACCACTGGATGAATAAGTGCCTTTCACGTGACCCGCACGTGGAAAACCAAACTGGTACAACGATGCTAAATTCCAAGGCAAATCAACCTTGGGTCATGTCTGGCACCGCCTTCGGCGGGCCAGACCCTAAGTCATGGGATATCTTCAGGTTGTTTGATTAATCTTGGTGGGTTAACCCTAAGGATAAACCTTTATAACCGTAGTACAATCTTCCCAAGCAGCCCAGATATATTGTTGATTTTTGGGGGCACCCTTCAAACCGGGGGAAATCAAAGTAATGGAAGTTGTTTTAGCAATGAAAATGAACATTCGGTTAGCCAAAAGTTAGTGGGCAGCTGTTCTTGGTAAGCTGGTATAGGGCTTGAGAAGAAGGGGATAATAGAGCAAAAAATTATGACTCTGAGAATATAAAGGCATTTAACGAGCCAGGAAGAAAAACCGCTGGCCAAGTTGACAGGCAAAAGTGTTTGAATACTACCCAGGGCCCTTTGGCGTACTTTGACCTAAGCCCAAGCTGTTCTGTGTAGGTCGCTACTGGTCGCAGAGTTTTTCGGGAGTATTTCACCAAACCCCGGATATAATGTCACCGTGTATAGAGCCCAGCGCTCTCAGCTGTTGATTCTTGGAGACAAATATGCTCAGTAGGAGGCTAGAAAGCGACTGATAACAGCTGCATTATTTTAAGGGTCAGGCAGGGCTGAGTGCAGGCTGTTGAATACCAGCATGTAGTTTTTTTTCGGTATTGAGTATAATTCAGGCAATGCACACGTCAATATTGCCATTGACCTTACCAAGTATACTACCGATACACTCCTAGAGGCCTTGGCAACAACTTTCACCGCAGAGACACACAGCTCTTGACATTGTAGAGCACAATATAGACAAGAACACCTTTGAGGGTACTAAAAAATGTGCATCTGAAAGAACAGCCCGTGGAGCAGAGCTTTGGGCCGTACCGGCCCAAAGCTCCTTGACCTCTGGTACTTCCGATGTCTGGGAGCACGCCCATATAATTTTTGTGGCCAGTTTGATTGTCAAAGACGCAGCGGTTGTTCGCAAAAAAAAAAACCCCTAAAAAACC